TGAGGTCAGGAGTTCGAGACCAGCCTAGCCAACATGGCAAAACTCTGTCTCTACTAAAAATACAAAAATTAGCCTGGTGTGGTGGCAGGCGCCTGTAATCCCAGTAACTTGGGAGGCTGAGGCAGGAGAATCCCTTGAATCCAGGAGGCAGAGGTTGCGCCACTGCACACCAGCCTGGGCGACGGAGCAAGACTCTGTCTCAAAAAAAAAAAAAAAAAAAATCACAATCTTGGCTCACTGCAAGCTCTGCCTCCCGGGTTCACACCATTCTCCTGCCTCAGCCTCCCGTGTAGCTGGGACTACAGGCGCCTGCCCGCCACCACGCCCGGCTAATTTTTTGTATTTTTAGTAGAGACGGGGTTTCACCGTGTTAGCCATGATGGTCTCGATCTCCTGACCTCGTGATCCGCCCACCTCGGCCTCCCAAAGTGCTGGGATTACAGGCGTGAGCCACTGCGCCCAGCCTGCAAATTGATTTTTAAGTGTACATTCATATTTGAGAACCAATACACTAGGATAAAGATTTTTTAAAACTTCCAAGTTACTTGGCTCTTGTTGATAAATTCCCTGCAGTTTTCCATGTGTTGCTTGCTTGAAGGAAGCAACTGCCAGAGCCCCATGTGAAGGTGACCCAGTGCCTTTGCTGAGTGTACAGACGTGAGAAAGGGTTCCAGGGGTCTCCTTTCAGAGGCGTATAGATCGGAGGTCAGGCAGCCAGCAGAGGCAGAGCTCTAGTTCTTATCTAGGATTCTTTACTTTTAAGTAAGACTTGAAACTAACTTTCTTCCCCACAGCAGTCCACAACAGAGAGGCCCTGGAAATTAGGGATTCTTTTCTTCCTTGGGATCCTGGCTCCTAATCTTGTCCTCATAACCATCTCCCCCATAAGTAATCTCAGGCATCCAGCCAGAGGATTTTTAAGCCTACAGTGCCAAGCCCACTTGAATACAGTTTTCAGTGTAACTGCATTTCAGCTGTAGAAGTCTCAGTACTTTTCACATGTGAAGTTAGGAGTTATGGTGTCCTATATGTTCTAGGCTAGAAAGATTAAGTTCTCTCTTCTAGCTGGGGTAGGCGTGAGGGGGCAGGAGGCAAGTGGGTTTGGGGTGAAGGAAGGAGGCACAGCAGGGTCAGGGCCTTTTTAAAGAACAGATAGTGTGTATCATGGCTTTCCCTTTCTTCAGATGACCTGAACATTGGCGGAATTATTGGGGGGGTTCTGGTTGTCCTTGCTGTACTGGCCCTGATCACGTTGGGCATCTGCTGTGCATACAGACGTGGCTACTTCATCAACAATAAACAGGATGGAGAAAGGTGAGCCTGCCTTATGTGAAAAAAGGGAAGTTCAAGCTGGCGATCATGTAACAACCCTGTTACTAAACTGCTCTCTTCTCCTCACAGTTACAAGAACCCAGGGAAACCAGATGGAGTCAACTACATCCGCACTGACGAGGAGGTAATCATTTAGTAAACCTGGAAATCTAGGTGTACCCAGCAGGGAAAACAACATTCCTCCTTGGAAACCACACAGGTCTCCTAGGAAGATTCCTGAGTGATTGTGCAGCTCCTGAGCTCCTCGGCCCCTTCACAGTCACACACACACATACTAATGGGATTTGTGCTTTGCAGGCGCTAGTGATGGTACTTTTTAAGAATGATTATTTGATTTGTATTTAGCCCATGTTAGACTTACTCAGTGTTTTTCCCTTCTTGCCACCAGGCCCCTTGATGGCTTTAACTGTGTGTTGGCTTTGCAGGGCGACTTCAGACACAAGTCATCGTTTGTGATCTGAGACCCGCAGTGTGGCTGAGAGCGCACAGAGCGCACATGCACATACCTCTACTAGAAACTCCTGTCGAGGCAGCGAGAGCTGATGCACTTGGACAGAGCTAGACACTCATTCAGAAGCTTTTTGTTTTGGCCAAAGTTGACCACTACTCTTCTTACTCTAACAAGCCACATGAATAAAAGAATTTTCCTCAAGATGGACCCAGTAAATACGACCACAAGGAAGAGAAACTGGGTGCGTTCACCGAGTTGGGTTCCCAATCTGTTTCTGGCCTGATTCCCACACGAGTATTAGGGTGATCTTAAAGCTTGCTCACGTCAGTGCCCCTGTGCTGGGCCCTGTGAAGCCAGCGTGTTTACCACTGGTCGTTCAGCAGCCAGGACAGCACCCTGTGAGCCGGCGAGGGGCCGTGCAGCACCAGCAGCGCATCCCGGCGGGCACCCAGAACAGGCTTTGTATGCAGCAGCCTCTTCATCGGCCGCAGACACCACTGCAGCCTCTTCTCAGAGGCTCTGCTGATCGGTGTCGCAGTGTCCACTGTGGAGAAGCCTTTCGGATCAGCATTTTGTAGAAACCACCGAAGTCAGGGAGGCAGATTGGTTGCTGGAAGAGGGATCTTGCCTGAGGAACCCTGCTTGTCCAACAGGGCGTCAGGATTTAAGGAAAACCTTCGTCTTAGGCTGAGTCTGAAATGGTACTGAAATATGCTTTTCTATGGGTCTTATTTTATAAAATTTTGCATCTAAATTTTTGCTAAGGATGTATTTTGATTATTGAAATTTCTATTTAAACTGTAAATATATTGTCATACAATGTTAAATAACCTATTTTTTTAAAAAAAGTTCAGCTTAAGGTAGAAGTTCCAAGCTACTAGTGTTAAATTGGAAAATATCAATAATTGAGTATTTTACCCAAGGAATCCTCTCATGGAAGCTTACTGCGACGTTCCTTTTCTTGCACAAGTTTTAGCCTTTTTCACAAGGGAACTTTTGCGGTCTACACGTCAGACCGTAGTTGCTTAGGAAACCTTTAAAAATTCCAGCTGAGCAATGTTAAAATCAGTTTGCATCTCTTCAAAAGAAACCTCTCAGGTTAGCTTTGAACTGCCTCTTCCTGAGATGACTAGGACAGTCTGTACCCAGAGGCCACCCAGAAGTCCTCAGATGTACAGACAGACGCCAGTCAGCTCCTGGGGTTGCCCCAGGCGCCCCCGCTCTAGCTCAGTGTTGCCTCGCTATCTGCCAGGGGGCCCCGCCATCGTTGGGCCCTGGCAGTGGCTGTGTCCCAGTGAGCTTGACTCACATGGCCCTTGCTTCATCCAGCACAGCTCTAAGGTGGGCACTCCAGGGACACTGGTGTCTTCCACGTTGTGTCCCAACTGTGGGCTCCCATAACAGACCTTTTTGGTTATGGATGGCTCACAAAACAGAGCCCCCACTGCTATTTTTTTTTTAAGTTTGTTTAATTATTTGTTAAGACTGTCTAAGGCCAAAGGCAATTGTGAAATCAAGTCTGTCAAGTACAATAATATTTTTAAAAGAACGTGGATCCCACTGTTCCTCTTTGCCACAGAGAAAGCACCCAGACGCCACAGGTTCTGTCTCATTTCAAAACAAACCATTATGGAGTGGCAGCCAGTCCAGCCTTTTGAAGAATGTCAGGTGGAGCAGCCAGGTGAAAGGCCTGGCGGGGAGGAAAGTGAAATGCCTGAATCAAAAGCAGTTTTCTAATTTTTGACTTTAAATTTTTCATCTGCCGGAGACACTGCTCCCATTTGTGGGGGGGCATTAGAAACATCGCTCAGAAGCCCGTGTTCTCAGCCTCATACGCCCTGCCGTGCTGGATTCAGGACTGAAGTGCTCTGAAGCAAGGAGCTGCTCAGGAGGAGCACTCCACTGTGTGCCTGAAGAGTGGCTCTCACTAGTCATCTTGGCTTTCAGCTTCCAGTGTCTTGAGTTTTTTATACTTTGACAGCTTTTGTTTAATTGCATACATGAGACTGTGTTGACTTTTTTCAGTTACGTGAAACACTTAGCTGCAGGCCGCCTGGCAGAGGCAGGAAATGCTCCAGGAGGGGCTCAGTGCTCCTTGGTGTCTTCTGCATGGCATCCTGGATACTGAGCATGCGAGTTCCCTCCATCATTGCCACCGTGGTAGAGGGATGGCTCCCCACCCTCCGCGTTGGGGAATGACGCTCCAGCCTCTTTCTTGGTTGTCATAGTGATAGGGTAGCCTATTGCCCCCTCTTCTTACACCCTAAAACCTTCCACACTAGTGCCATGGGAACCAGGTCGGACAAAGTAGAGAGAAGTGAAAGTGGAGTCTGGGAAGTAGTTGCCTATAACAGACTAGACAGAAAAGGTACACTCGTGTATTTTAAGATACGAATGTGACTCAAGACTCGAGGCCGATACGAGGCTGTGATTCTGCCTTTGGATGGATGTTGCTGTACATAGATATTACAGACTTGTACTAACACACCTGTAATTTGGTATTTGTTTAACCTCATTTATAAAAGCTTCAAAAAAAACCCAAACATTGCTTCATTCTTTCTTGTTTGCTCTTGTGTTTGTCTCTTCTTCCTAGCATTTCAGTGGTTAGGCACGCGCACTAAAAATGCTGTCACCCATCCACCAGGGGAGTCAGTGCCTGGGCAGGAGGTCAGCCTGTGTGCTCCAGAGCAGTGCTGCGCCTCTCCACCACCGAGTCCACCTGCGTTGCAGTTCCCACTTAGGATAGCAGGGGCAGAGCTCAGTGGCATCCCATCCATCCCCCAAACCAACCAACGCACATAATCACTTTGTACTTTTGCTTTTGTAATACTGGGATTAAAAAACAAGCCAACTGCATTTCTTTTTGGATATTCTTGAACAAAAATATCGTTAAGTTTACCCAACAGAGTGAACAGAAGAGACTCAAGCCGTTCCCCCATCATGGGAGCAGCCCTTAGCAGAGGGCTGCACAAATCGGCATCAGTGCTGCTCTGGGGAAGGCCGCAAAGCTATTTTTTCACAAGCAGCGATGCTGTTTATGTCTGTTATAGAAAGCACATGGCCTCTGCATGGGCACAGATCAACTGCCCCTCAAGACAATCATTTTTTTTCTAATAGGAAAGATTTGGTTTCATTCCTCTAACATGCTTTATGTAGAATTAAAATGATTACCAGTAAGAGCTCTGTTCTAAAAACAGAAACATTCTATTTACTGGAAGGCTGTATTTATCCTAAACCTTTATTACTTTTAGAAAGCTGTATATTTTAAAAATTTGCAATTATAAATAATAGAAAAAATATTACAATCAATATTTTGTCATTACAGATGGGAAAATATGTACTATAAGGAATTCAAACAAGTTAACAGAGGCTTGATTTATATAAAAGAAAGCTGAAGTTTTTAAAGTTGTGTTCCTTAAAGACCAGATTATAGCTTATCTGCATGGGCTTGACACTTTCAAATGGAATAAAGTTATACTATTAAATAGATTAGGCTTAGGGTAAGAAGATCTAAATTTGGCACATCTCTATTTTACAGTGTTTAACCATATACATCATACAGCATAGAAAGGGCTGGCCGGCTAAATGCAGGTGCGTGCCAGGCCCCTGAGGAGGAGCTCTCGTGTTCCACGGCAAAGCGCTGCCCAAGGACTGCGGGACGTGATCCAGCTGCCTGTCCACGCGGAGGACACGAGACGGCTTCCTCAGGGGCTCCTGCCTGCCCGGACACTGGGGGGGATGCGCTCTTTAGTTGGCTGTTTTCAGGGGGGTCTTTCGCAGGGACCTCCTGCTGCAGGCTGGAGTGTCTTTATTCCTGGCTGGAGACCTCACATTCCACTGCTGAGGCTGTGGGGGCCTAGGGAAAGGACATACGCAGTCATTCTGGAACTCGGAAAAACCCTGAAAAAAAATCCACCTCAAAAGGAACACTGCTAAACTTACGGTTTATCAGGCAATGATAAACATAAGATGTCATTTCCTTGACTCCTGGAAATTTTCTCTAAAAGGGATTTAAACAAACAAATTCAGTTTTCCCAGAACCTCAAAGGCAGCGCATATATCAGCCCAGAAGCAAACCAAGAACTTGCCTTTGGCTGATGAAGGAGTCCGTGGTGTCCCGATGTAACTGACCCCTGCTCCAAACGTGACATCATTGATGCTCTCTGCATAAAGGGGAGACACCACTGAGCGAAGGCAGAGGGGGCGGCTCCCGTTGTGTGTGTGACGTAGGCACGGTGTCCACATCGGCGTCCCAGTGGCGGCCCTCAGACCTCCACTGGACCCTGTCCCAGGTCCTGGCAGGGATGAGGGCCCCTCCTGGGGACGCTCCTTTCCGTCTCTCTGACCGCAGCCCTCCTTAGGCACTCGGCTGGCCCCTGGGCCTCACTGTTCACGCCTCTGGCTTCCCTCCCACCCCATCTCCCATGATCACCCCTGTCCCAGTGACCGCGCTGTCCCACTCACTACGCTTCCTACGGTGGCTCACCCAGATTCCCCGAGGACAATTAACTCCTTGCCTCTGCACCTCCACGCGTGCCTGTTAGTGTCCAGCCAGTGAATGGACCGTGCAAGCTGGAAATGTGGCACCGTGAGCAGCTCCTCCACATGGAATCAGCAGCCAAGGCCTGTCCCTTCTACCTCCGGTCGCCACGTCATCCTCTCCTGTCGTGCCGCACTGGGAGCGGCTCAGTCCGCCTCACCCCTCGCCCTTGATTTTTCATGGCACCTACCCCCCTCCAGTTTGCCCTCAGGAACAGGTGAACACCGTTTACGAGCAGACTCCACCGCAGCTTGGGTGTGAATTCTGGCTCGGTGTCTTACCAGCTGTGTGAGCTGCTCTGAGACCCTCAGGTTTCTGCATCTCTTACGTGGGTATAAAAACAGCTACCTCACTGGGGGGCTGCCAGGACGACATGAGGTTACCTTCACCGAGTGCTTAGCATGGTGCCCAGGACGACAGGAGGTTATCTACACCGAGTGCTTAGCATGGCGCTGGCTGCAAGGGCGTGCTCAAGAGATGTTAGCGGCCACTGTCATTTATCAGTAGTATCCTCCCTGCGTCACTGGAGTTATGTTTAATCAAGAAGCTGGTAAATTTACTGCCCTGCTTTAAGACACCTCGATGGCTGTGTTCCTAGGAGAGCCTAAAGTGCACCCTCAGTCTCAGCTGGTCCCAAGCTGCCTTTACAGACTTAGCTGTTATGCTGAGGTGCACGTGCCCACACACGTCCACCCTCCTGCATCCCTTCCTCAGCAGGCCCTGTCTGCACATCATGCTCCTCTGCCCCTCCGCCCCATCTGTCTACACACGCCACCCGGTCTTGGGGGCCCGGGTGGTGCTGTACTCGGTGCATAAGCTGCCACCAGCACACTCCCAGGAACAGCACGGGCTGGGCGGCTGCTTGCTGATGCCACCGAACCCGCTGCCTTTCTGCAAGACACGCGAGGAGGCAGCTTCAGAGCTCTCCCCGTTCTCCACACGGTGTCTTCAGTACAGACCGTCTTCCCATTTACATTTTAAAGCTCATCAGCGCACTGCAGTGTACCTGATGGCTACTTGAGTGTCATTAACAGACAATGGCAGAGAATTCTATCCTCATCACTGCTAGATCTGCTTCTTCTGTTTCTGTGAAAGTCTCTCCTTGTACCGTCAGGTGAAATTCCCTCCCTCACAAATTCCCTTCCTCACAAATTCCCTTCCTCACACACACGCCGCTCTTCCTGTTTGGAAGCCCATATGTGCTCCAGGAAATTAGTCTCCCATCTTTACAGAAGCACGGGTGTGGGGGCTCTGACATCCCCCATGCACTGTGCGTAGAATCAAAGGCAGCAGTGTCTGTGCCACCCGAATGATAAAGTAAGAGGGACTTGCTAAAACCCCACAGATTTTCAGTTAAAATCCTAGCTCTGAAAAATGAGTAATTTTCATTTCCATTTAGCAAAACCACTTTGAACTGGTGCACCACAGTGCCGAACTGGGCGGCGTCTTTCCTACCAGCTTTGAAGAGTTGAGACATTTCCTGACAGTCACCCCCTTCTGAACTAAAAGTTGCCAAAAGAATCTGGACGTATAAACCACAGAGAAAACAGGACTGAGTGCTTTTAAGCTATCTAACAATCCTCCCAGGAAGGAAAGCTAATAGGAGACCTCCAAGCACCTCTTCCTGGTTCAGTATAAAGAGAGATAGCCAGAGACTGCATCAACAGGAATATTATGTCCAAGAGCCTGGAGCAAGAACAAGTACTCTACCAACTCAATGACACCGGGGCGCCCGATTTCCAGCACGAAGCCTGGCTCCACACAGGCAAATGAGGGCAGCATGCACACTCCACGCCAGGCTGCACTGTGGAGGAACATGGGCTGCTAGGAAACCAACCCAACACTGACATCAGGGACTCACAGGATGAGCACAACTCAAATGAGATGCATTCTCCCCGTTGCTTCAGCATATGGCACCTCACTGCCAAAATAGAAGCTCTTGGCGCTCCTGAGCCAGGAACATCGAACACACAGCAAGCTCTACACACAGAACATCGCACCTGTCCACAACGCAGGATCCCAAATTACCCACTGCCTTTAATGACAAATGCCATCATGATCCAGTTGTCGTCTGAGGGTGGGGGTGGGATAAATTCCCTTCAAAGGGGGACCTGGATGAAAATTATCTCTAACCTGTTAACTATTCTAAGAGATCACAGCATCAGTGTGACAGAACCAAATAAGCAAGTAGCCAGAATACAGCAGGTGCTCCATACACGTGAGCTGACTGCAGTGGCGACTAAACGCACGGCATGACACCTTGCTGCTCCGTTACCAGGAAGGGCACCTTAGCACACTCTCAGCTCCCCTGCTGCAGTCAGGAGCAGGAGACAGGCTGGAGAAGGGGCACGAGAGGTGGGATCAGAAGGCCTGGGCTCAGCACCCAGCTATGCCCTCCCAGAAATCTCCCGCAGGAGACCTCTGACACCTCCCAGGTTCCAGGCACTGTGGGGGGCCCTGTGGAAACAGTGAGGAGTGGAACGGCCAAGACGAGTGGGGCTGGATGCAGCTTGCCGAGGGCACCGTGCACAGGTGGGCGCAGAGCGAGGGGCACGCAGGACACGCAGGCAGGGCCTGGCCACCACTCCGCAGACCTGGGACAGGAAGCGTTTCTTCCTGTAAGAGCTTTCTCAGAACAATGGTTTTATGAGGTTTGAGACGACATGAAGCTATCAAACAAGATAACAGGAAAAGAAGACTCGACTCTCCTAACTCACCTGTTTTGAAATAAAAGGAAAAGAACAGACAGTAGGAAAAAACACGGAGGGGAATGAGACACAGGCTCCGAGCAGATCCTCGGGTCTCTGGTCTCGGCAGTTGCAGAACATACGTGGTACCTGCTGGTGCTGACGTCTGCCCGCCCCGGGAGCAGGCCCACCCAGCAGCGCCCAGTGCACCCGGACAGCCCGGAGGCACTGAGGGCCGCCTCCAGAACAGACCACTGGGTCAGTCACCCGACCTACCTCTGCCTCAACGGCACTGTCTGCCCCACGGAGGCCCGCAGGCCACTGTGGTGTTTGACTGACTGACTGTAACAACAGTGGAACACCACACTGGGTCAGTGCTCATGGATCAAGCTACCGTGGTCCCTGTGAAACATTCCGCCTCAGCAATGCACTCACGGTTTTGACCACCAGGACTACCCTGCACTGAAAGGAGTTTTACTACAAGTCTAGCAAACACATGGCGACCGCAGGAGAGACTGAGGAGAAGCCCGCGTGTTCCCATCGGTTACTCACTCTCGGGGGTGCTGATGGCCCGCTTGGTCACAGGCTCAATCGTGCCGTTTGACTCTTGCTCCAAACTGTATGAAGACACTAGGATAGAACAGAAAAGTTGTAGCTGTCCAGAAATACCCCCAAACAATAATGAAACCAAAACCACCAAATGAGAAAACATACCTGCAAGACATCAAGTTAAAACTGCTAGTATTTAAAATTTTCTTATAAAGAGGCAATTCAGGAAGAAATACAAATAAATGATACACATGAGAAAAAATGTCCATTCTCATTAGGATTCAAAAAAATAAAAGAGTCTAACTTGGCACGAGTGAGAGAGGACAGTTTGACACTAGCCAACGTTTTAAAATATCCGTGGCCTTTGGCCGCTGCAAATTAATCCCACGGATCACATACATACAAGGCTGTATGTACAAGGATGTTCACTGTGCCAGTATTTACATGAAAAAACTGAAAATCAACATTTCAAAGAACAGGATAGTGATGAATAAGTTATTTGCACAGACACAAAGCTGTAAAGCCACTGGAAGCGAAGGTTTGAAAGAAACGTTCACGGAAGCTACATCTGACTTGTGTGTGCAGCGAAACAGGTCATAAAACACACACAGACCACAATCCCAGAAACAAAACACGGTGTGCAGGGAAACAGGTCATAAAACACACGCACAGACCACAATCCCAGAAACAAAACGCGGGTGTGCAGGGAAACAGGTCATAAAACACACGCACAGATCACAATCCCAGAAACAAAACGCGGGTGTGCAAGAGGAACAGAATGGCTGGAGGAAGGAATCCTCACTGCTATGGGTAAGTTTCATCTTTCACTCTATTTTCCACATCTCCTAGAATAAATATGCACTGTTTTATTACCCATGATCCTAAAAGCCCAATTAATGTGACTTGTTTTAAAGATAGGAAAACGAACCGTTTGAAAGGAATGAGAAGTAGTCGTGTTCTGTGTCTTGATCTGTAAATGCTCTGCTATGTCTGGCTTACCCTGACTGCAGGTTTTCTCTGGGCTTCCAGAATTTAAAGTGAAAGGCCGCACTCCTAAGCTCCGACTCCGATGCCTGCTCTTTGACTCCACAGCTTTCTTGACAGAATTCAGGATTGCAATGGTGCTCAGGGACATGGGTCTGTGGAGAACAGCCACGTGCCGACTTTCTCACTGCACAGGTGACAGTGCTGCACCCCGTCCCCACGTGCCTCCTCTCTGGCGCATCCCTCACCCAGACTCACTCAAACCTCCCAGGGCAGAGTGCGGAGGGGGTGGCAGGCCAGACAATGACAGTGCCTGTCCTGCCCATGCTTGCTGGGAGGGGTGGGGACGCCTCTGAGAACATCGCCCCAGAGAACCAGCCCTGATGTGGCCTCCAGGGGCTCTTTACCTGGCTTTGGGCAGCAGCCTCTGCAACGGCCCAGTTTCAGGTGCAGGAGATGACACCGGTGCGTGGCCAGCACTTGCCCTGTGTGTGCAGGGCTGGCTCACGGCAGGTGACAGGGCGCGGTTTTCGTGGCCAGCAGGACCTGGTGCTGTTTCTAAACACGGAGCAACCTGGCAGAGAAGATAAAGAGTATGAACCTTCTAATACTTTTTACGTTTTTAAAAATTGATATATGATAGTTGTACATGTTTTAGGGGGTCCATGTGCGATTTTGATACATGTGTACAATGTAATGATCAAATCAGGGTAATTGGGATCTCTATCACCTCAAACATGAGTATCTTTTCTTTGTGTTGGGAGCATTCCAATTCTTCTATCTACTTTGAAATATACAGTAAATTGTTAAACTATAATATCTCCACTGTACTGAATACTAGAATTTATTTCTTCTATCTAACTGTATTTTGGTACCCATTAACCAACTTCTCTTCATCCCCCTTCTCCCACCCCTTCCCAGCCTCTGGTAACCACCAAAAATCCACTCTCTTAACTCCCAGAGATCCACTTTTTTGGTTCACATATATGAATGAGAACATACGATCTTTGTTTTTCTGTGTTTGGCTTATTTCACTTAATATAATGTCTTCTACAATCATCCACGTTGCAGCAGATGACAAGATCTCCCTTTTTATAGATGAAAAGTGCTGCATTTTACGTACGCACCCCATCTGCTTTACCCACTCATCCACTGATGGACGTACGCACCCCATCTGCTTTACCACTCATCCACTGATCCACTGATGGACGTACGCACCCCATCT